CATTCCGAGTTTCAAGCATCATACACCATAATACATGACGAAGCTGGGAATACGATTAGATCTGAAAAACACGATGTACTTAGGAACAAGGATCGAGCGAAACGTCATGTCAAATATTGCTGCGCACATCGCATCTTTCAAGTTAAATTTTATTCCGGGCTTCGCAATCCGCAAGAATCCATCCGTTCTTTGCAGTGATTGGCTGCCTCTGCGCTTTGCAAAAAACTAAACTCAGATACCTTTCCTTTTGGAGTGTAAGTTGAGAGGAGTTCGGAATGCATTGCTTCCCAAAGAGGATAGGCGCTACTCGCTTTGCGAAACGTCGAGCGCAGTAACGTCTAAGATGCGTAACCAATCGCGTCTATTACACTTTCTTGAATACGCGGCAGGTGCTCTTCAATATTGCCGAGAGGAAGCCATGGTGCCTTCACGTTACCAATATCAAAGTGCCGGCTGTATTGGAGAGAAAGAAATCATGTTTTTTGGACTGAAAAAAAACAAAAGCAAATAGGGCGTCCGAAATAACCAGGCTCGATCTAAAATGGGGCGTAAAGGTCGGCACCTGCACTTAGTAATCTAAACTTTTCGTCAAAGGTGTATTTCGCGAGTACCTTTTATGTTGTAAAATTACAAAGCATCGATAACTTTCTGTAAAAAATAGGGTAAAACGACTCGCCAGGGTCAACGGCCAACAACAACGCATGCAGGCGAACGAGTCGAGTGGCAAGGCCCGTTTGGCACACGCATTGACAACGGCATGGCGTCGGGAGCAGCGCCGGAAGGTGTAGCCGACCAGCAAAAGAAAGCAGACGACACGCAGACGAGATCTGTCGGCAGTAAGAGCTCCGTCGTTATGCAATGATTTTCTTTTAGAGCGGAGCTCTTAGGGGCCCGTTCCCGGCTTGAGCGGCGTCGGCGTCGCCGTCGGCGTCGGCGTAACCAAGGTCATCCCAAGGTCACGTGACCCCTCCAGGTCACGTGACCCCTCCCAAGGTCATCTCAAGGTCACGTGACCCCTCTCAAGGTCATCTCAAGGTCACGTGACCCCAAGATGACCCCACGTGACCCTTTGAAGGTCACGTGACCCCTCTGAGGTCACGTGACCCCTCCAGGTCACGTGACCCCCAAGGTCACGTGGGGGTCACCTTGGGGGTCACCTTGGGGGTCACGTGACCTTGAGGTGACCCCCATGTGACACCCAAGGTCACGTGACCCCCAGGTCACGCCTCCCCAAGGTCACGTGACCCCCCTCCGCGAAGTCACGTGACACCCCCCCCCCCCCCCCCCCGAGGTCACGTGACCCCGCCCCGGAGCATATTAAAGAATGAGGGGAGGAGGAGGAGAAGGAGGAGGGGTCTACCCTCCCCTCAGTACCCTTCACTCCTCCTCCTCAAGAGCTGCGCTCCAATTCGACGTTACAGGGATTTGTAAACGGCTTTCACTTTTTTCTTTCTTTTTTTTTACTTCAAAATTCCCCTCATTGTCCACATTTATTCTTAAACCAAAGGTACATTGCAAAAATAGTATGTTCATTTTAATAGACCACAGTCGTCGCGAGCATTCTCCATAAGGAGGTAGCGCCATCTATCATTACGTGCACCAAACGCGCCCGGCCACTTGATTCGATCGCCTGCGTCGCCGTCCGCCGTTGACCCTGGCAAGTAAGTATTTTGGCCTTATTTTTACAAAAGAAAGCCACGCTTTTTTAATTTTAAAAGATAAAACCGACCTGTGAATTACACCTTTGACGAAAAGCTTAGATTGCTACATGCAGGTTCCAAATATTACGGCCCATTTTAGATCGAGACTGGTTATTTTTGACACTATAGACTGTGCATTACCGAACGCTCAGTCTACGTTAGAATGTAGTCCTAGCGGTTGGAATATGATGCACAGGTTTCTCGACCTGTGTGCCGAGAAACTGAGGGAGAGTACGAAACGAGAGTGCGCGGTAACGTCAAAACGCTGAGTTCTGTTTGGAATGATTAGTGAGCATAACCCCCTAGCTTCCTCGTATAAGCGGGAATAATTCGTGTCGCTCAGTGAAGCCAGTAGACTAGACAGGGTTCAGTAACTGGTATACAAGCACGCATCTCCAACCCTCACTGTAACCGACATCTTGGTAAACGAGTGGCGCCACCTATAGGCAGTTGGATTCGTGAATAGTCTGGGTCGACTCCTATTGTTGCCGAAAGGCTTGCACTATAATGCAAGCCGAAAGGGGTAGTAGGCCGCATGGAGTTTTCTCCTGCAAACTGAGCGATTAATCTGACTATGGCAGACCATTCCAACCTATTTTCTTTCTTTCTTGTTTACAACTTAGCGTACTGGGGGGGGGGGGGGGGGGGGGGGGGGTATTTGGAAAAGCTGTGAATTAACGTGAATGGACGTCCGGTTGCTTGTTTTACGGGGAGAAAGAGAGAGATAAAAGGTAGCCCGAGGCTTATGTAAATACTACTTAATGATTGACGGGATAGTCTTTGACGCGTATCGGGTAAGCGAATGTGTCGGCCGGCTAAAGGATATCCTTGCGCGCAAATTAATGTGGCGTATTTACCTATGGCTCGGACTACACCTACTCGTTCTATTCTCGAAAACCACGCCATGTGACGTTGAAGAAAAATTAATTGCACCAATCAGAGAGCTGAAATTGGCCTGCTGACTTATTTCACAAGCTGCTCTGAATACGCTACCCGGCGGTTTCTACGTGGTTTTTTGTGCCGTCCCCACTTAAACGCCGCTTGGGTCAGCTCATATTACCGCACCCTGTTATTAAAATAGTAATAATATCAGTCGTACTGCACTTACTAAATTTCTTGTTTACGGCGTGAACCACTGTCGCAAAGAAAAGTCAGAGCAGCATCGTCTGCTGTCGATACTTCGTTTTACCAGGAACTGGAGAGCAGTCAAGGGATAGACTGCACACAGAAACAAACGCAGACTAAAAACGCTAAGTCACGGTACAGCCCCAGGAATTGATTGGTTTTAAATCGCAATAGCGCGCAGAAAGAAAGGCAAGGGACGCCGTGACTGTGAGCTTTTCGGGTTACTTCATTAGTCCCATCGACGTGTAGCATTGTGAACACACTAACATAAGGTGAATCCGAGTACAAACATCCAGTATCTATTTTTACTTAATTTACTATAGTCACTGACGGCTTAAAAGGGCAATGAACCAGTTTTTGCGATAGTCTATTTTCGTCATAACACAATTTATGGGTTCTAAGCATCCTAAGAAACCAAACATCACATTCATGCGTTGCCGGTTTCTCTATAAAAATCGGTATCTAAGATCGATTACCCCGGCACTATCGCAGATACTAGAGGGCTCTATCGGACGAAGAGAAGAGCTTGGATGGATGGATGAGGCTGAACCTTTTGAATCATGCGGCGACTAACACCACCTAGGCAGCTTTCTTCTCTTTTTTTTTACATTTATTTTTTTATAAAGATGTGTTTCTACAGTTTTATTCTTAAAATCTATAAACGATTCGCCAGGGGGCGCCATCGAACGTTCTTCTCCTCCCTCGGTGGCGCCCTCTGGTGTCAGTGGTAATTCCGAGGTAATCAATCTTTGATACTGATTTTAATACAGATATCGGCCACGCATTAATGTAATGCTTGGTTTCTTAGGATGCTTAAAGCCCATAAATTGAGTTAGGACCGTAAATGCATTACTGCAGAAAGTGGTTTAGCGCCCCTTTTAAGAGACGCAGGGCGTGGTTCGCTGTGTTTACGATTCTTGCTTCGTAAATTCATTCTTCTGCATCCTTATCGGCAAACGCAGCAATCTTATGCTGACCGCAAGTTCGTCTGCTTCTTACGGAGGGGTTGTGGTGACGTCAGAACGCCAATCTCTGATTGGCTCGATTGGAAGGATAGTGGGTAGACCTCAAGGCAGCTACCTACTCACTATCCTACTCACTATCCTTTCAATCGGAGCCAATCACAGCTCGGCGTTCTGACGTCACTGCAACCCCTGGCCAAGAAGCAGACGAACTTCCGCTCTGCATTGGTCGCGGAGCGACAATGGCTGCTTGGGACTCGTCACGCCCTGTGCTTCTTAACCTGCCAATGACTATGCGAGGAGAAACTGAGGGAGAGAAGGAGACGAGAGCGCGAGGAGACCTCAGAACGCCGACCTCTGATTGGAACGATTAGGGGGTAGAGGCAAAGCTATACCTGCCTTCGTCTCCACTGCCCACGTCGGACGCGTTCGAATGTGAAATACAAACGCCGGACGCCGGCGTTCCGCGTTCTAAAGCGTTCGAAGAGTGCTGTGGAGAAAAAGGCACTTATAGTTTTGCCTCTACCCCCTAACCGTTCCAATCAGTGCTCGGCATTCTGGCTTCCTGGTCTTCTCCTCTTCCTCAGTTTCTGCGCACATAGGCCATTCTAATGATCGCCTTCTGCGCCCTCCTATCTTTGTCTGCTGGGCTGGGGAACGCGTTTTGAGCATGCGCAGTAGCTCTTTTGTACAAAAAGAAATCAGACGTTGCGCATGTATTTACAGCCCATTGACTTTGCACACTTTGCGCATGTGGTAAGCTCTGAAAAGATGTATACATTTGGTCGTGTAGAGTGTTGCACGAAGTAAGCTTACCAGGGCAAACCAGCACCCCTAGCTGAAGAATTATAACCGAGTCAAGGGCGTCTCACACCGCTGCCACACGGCAAAATTTTATGTCATTTCCATTGAATGAGATTGACTGATTGGCCAATCAGCGCGTGCCGCACTTGACGCTCGTAGTCAGAATCAAAAGCTGGTTCGCCGATCAGTTCATGTCATTCGATTGAAATGGCGTTAACTTTTGTCATGTGCAAGGATACTAACCTGACTTAAACTACGTACTTGATGGCATAGTTTTGCATAAAATGAACACATTATAAATAACTACACCCTGCCCCCCCCCCCCCCCCCCCCCCCCTATTTCCCCTTTCTCCAGTTCCTCGAGGATAAATTCTTAACCTCTGGCGAGTCAAGGGCAGAGGCCACTCACCGTCGATGTCCCCGACTGTCCGGGCGGGCGAGGCTGGAAGAACGTGTCCCCTGTAGCGAACCGGACGCGGACTGGTGGGCCCGCCCTGGAAACCGGGCCAGAAGAAGTCGTCCTGAGAGGACGTGTGTTTCTTATCGCTCGGAAACCAGGGTTGCTTATCGGCGTCTCGTCCGGAAGGCCGCGAGCTTCCTCCTGTCTACACTCCGCTCGCCGCTAAGCAGACACGACCGTGGAAGCTTTCCTTCTCACCGGACCAATCGGTCGCCTGCATGCCTTCTACCCTCCTGGTAGATGCTATGCGGAGACGAAGGCCTTCCCATGACGTCATCATTAGTGGACTCCCGACGTTAGTGGACTCCGCAAGTTGTGATTCGTTGCAAGACGCGTTGGCGGCGACGCTAACGCGGGTTAGGCGTCGCTGCGTGGGTACACTAGTGATGACGTTTGGGGAAGAAGGAAAGGCGCGGGCCTTGCCTCGTAGGTGGTATTGGGTAGGATGCGTGGAAAGTCACCTGACACGAGCCCGACGTTTGATTGGGCCCACCGAACAGGCAGCTTCCGCCCGCACTGTCAGCCGTCAGCTGAGCGGGAGAGGCGCCACGCTTGCACGGTCGTCGGGAGACGGTGTCTCGACTGACCTTTTCTTTGGTTGCGTTGCCTTTGCAGAACTCGCGATCCTTCACGCGAATTTTGAGGTGAAGTGGACGAAAATATTTGTGTCCGTTGCGCTGTGTTTGCGGGAGGCTAGAGCAAGGTGGAAACAGGATGCACGTGCGAAGCCGTGTGGGGATAGTATTTCATCTGCTGCTCGCGTGGCACACCGGCGGTAAAATAGTTTTAAAGACATTATAACAATTTTCTTTTATTTAATAAAATTGGTGCGTGGAATAAACACGTCGCATTCGCGAGGCATTAAACTTATCTTGCTTTATGTGCTATGTGTTAAATAAATGGGAATCATTTATGTGGCTTCGATTTTGTTTCTTCCTCTACTGCCTATTTTACCCGACAAGGGGCCTGTTACACCCTTTTTTTTAAGCTAACTAATAAAGGAATTCTTTGTTTGTTTGTTTGTTTGTTTCACCAACAAGTAATTCATAGGATAAGGCTTCATAAAAGTACAACCAACGAGGCTATATAATTTTTCGAAATAGCAAAAAAAAAAGGAAAAAAAAAAGGAACGCTTCAGCCAAGAGTTTTATCGATGCCAAAGGCTACTTAAGATGCAGCTTTCAATTTATGGGTTCTTCAAAACTGATGTAACTGAGAATTGCGTATTGTTCGTCATCATCATGTTCCAGCAGTCTCGGGCTTCGCCATAAAGATATCACACCTTCTCTTTTGTTGTCGGTTTTTGGTAAAAACGCTTCAACTGCACGAATTGCCTGACTGCTTCTGCGAATAGGAATATCCGTCCGCTAATTGACGAGCGGTCGCCTTATTAGTTAGTTATTTTTGTAGAGTTTTAATGAGCCCTCAGAAAATGGGATGATTTTAACTTTATGTCTCCTTGAAGGTTTGATCATGTTTAAAACCTGCCAGAAAAGTAAAGACTGTGGTAAAATACACACGGCAAACGCTTTTATCGATCGGCGTTGTCAACTCCAGTTGGATTGCAGCACGAAACTGTCACATACTTTCAACGTTATGTACACATTTTTCCATATTACGTATCATACCGAGTCAATGATGAAAAGAAGGTGCGCGTATACAAATGCAAAAGACATCAGTTCAAGTCACCCTTTACCTCTAAAACTATTGGCGAAAGGAACCAAATGTCCTCAGAGGTTATAGAAATGATAGACAACGTGACTTTTTTTCGCTGCATTGTGAGTTGATTGTTCCTTTTGTTTTTGAATGGCATTTGTTTGTGCTTTTCTTGAGTGTTTATATGCATGTGCAATTTCTGAGATGCTCATCCTTGTTGTTCTGCTGTTGCCTACAATCTCGTTTTGTGTGTCCCCTCCCCCTGTAATGCCGTCAGGCACTGTGGGTCAGTCAAAAATAAATAAAAACGAAGCTGACAGTCGGTAGGTGCAAGTTTATTTAACAAAATAAATACTGTTTCCACAATCGGCATTTTGGTACAGGTGTATAAATAATGCACATGGTGCGTACATGACGAAACGAAAATACATATCGTACAAACACACACAAGCACTTGTTGCTCGCACAGTTCGAGAGCCAACTGCCTGACGATGACAGCATAGTCATCAGTAAGTTCCACAGGTTTCGACTCCGAACAATTCACCGGGAGCCACATTCACCTCCGAGAAGCCTTTACGCATCTATTAGCCTTGTTCAAGGAAAATAATCTGTATAGCAGATACTTTACTATAGTCATTGACAGTTTAACAAACCCGAGGAGTTGGGAGTCCTATGCATCTCATTATAGCTCCGCATCCAATGAGGCTGCAGAATTAGCCGATGAGAACGCTATGGTTGCCAGTGGCTATGGGGAGAATGCACTCCATTCCGCTCATATGCGTGAGGCAGCGCGCCTGCAGCGCCATATCCTCCCCTAGCGGTGTGGGCACCCCGCGTCCGCCAGAACGCATGCGCAATGCGTTGCCCACGTTGTTGCGCAGTCGCACGGCGCCGAGGGAGAGGGCTGCCGTCGGCGCGCCGAGATACCGGGTTCGCCGAGAGAACAGAGACGGCTGTCTCGACTGGCTCTCGAGATGCCCACGACGATAGATGGCGGTAGTCCACCCTCCCAATTTAACGGGGAAATCCTCAAGGCGTCGGTACATCCAGTCGCTCCAACTACACAAAACCTGTTCGCGCCAAGACTATTGAATCTTTTGCGGTGTGGAATGTATACCCCTAATTATGTTTTTGTGCATGCTCTCTCATTTATCAAACCCCGCCACCGCATGAGTTTGCTGCTTATCTCTTGCACTGAAGTGACGATGAATTTGATCAAAGATCGCGTATTTACAAGCATAAATGAACCAGTGTGGTATTATAAATACAAATTTATATAGTAACATGAGAAGAAATGAACTCATTTGTCATAATAATCGAGTGAGTGAAACTACTTTAGGCTAGTATGAAAGCCTCAAAATCTCCAACAATATGTGTTCCTTCTTACTTGCTCATAAAACATGACAAGGCTGTGATATCTGTTGTACCGTAATCAGACAGCACTTTCCTCCGATGTCATAAAAGTATAGCCAACACATACCATTTATGGTGAGTTTATGGTGAGCTTAGAATGTCACTAAGACCAGTGTGTGATAAAATGGCCTCGAATAATCATCAATGTCGGGGCTTTACCTATGTCAACGTAAGCCCTTTAACGTCGCTTTTAACTGTTTGAAACTCCTGGTAAGGTTTCATGCAGCATTCGTAAGGAAACGCAAAGTAAACTGTAAAAGATTCTTCGGTTTTTTTGCGACAGGCACAAATCGGCATCCTGCGTAAGACAGCAACCGTCGCCTAAAGTAAACCAGCATTTTTTTTTTTACCTTAGCGAACTGCTCTGTATGAGACTACAAAGTTCAAATTCAAAATTTATCGAATGCTTCCTTCGTCATTTCGCTTTATGAATCACCTCGGAAGACAAAACTAAAAGCTGAGGTATATCATACAGGAACTCAAAGACTTGTTTACATGAAGCCCGCAGCTCCCACATCTTCTCCGAGATAGAGATCCTAAACGCTGAGTTTGAGTCGTAGGAAACTACCCAGACTCTTTACATATTTTAAAGCCACGCAGATACAATGTAGTCTATAACTGAATAGTTCTTTCTATGAATACCAAACCATAAGACAATCTTACACAATCTTCTATCACCTTTCGTTGCTCTATTTCTAGTAAGGATTTTAATATACTTTGGACACATTTGCTTTCTCGTTGCAAGATAAAACTTTAACGAGACCAGGAATAACTCAGAGGATCGGCAAACATTATGGCCAATTTTGTCAAACTTGAATACCTCGATTAGTACAAGGCACGTCACTATCACATGCATGCAGATATTCTTTTCATGACTTTTTCTATCGATGTCTCGTTACCGTCCACTTGCTCTCTCACTCTCTTTCTCTCTAATTCTTCTCCTCTAATTCTTCTCAACAAAAAACCTCAGAATCTGAAGGAAAAACCCTAAGGTACGAGTGAGCGGTGCCATCCTCTTCCATGCAGAGGCAGCCCAAGGAACCTGAATGTAATCTGTCGATTCGTGAGACTTCTGGTTTCACTGTCTTCTACCCGGGCATGTTCCTGGTGGTCTTTTGGAGCTCAACCGAGCCCGCTGATCACACTGTCGATCCACTCTCTGTACTGGGCCAGGTTCACATACACTCCGGGGACGCCAGCTTGTCCACATCCGATGCCCCAGGACACCAAGCCGACGGCCTTCCACAGCCCGTTGTATTCGCACACCAAGGGGCTGCCTCCGTCTCCCTGGAATCGAAAGAGGGTACATCATCTTCGGAACATAGACGTCACTGAAAAGGCGGGCAAAACCAACACCACTTAGATGACAAGGCCAGCCGGATGACGTCATCGTTAGTGGACCTCCGACCCGCCTCAAAGGACAAAACGCTAAAGCTCGACGAAAGTTGCCGTAAAGCAAGGTAGGCGGAAGCGCGTCAGAGTGTAGTCAAAGGCTAGAAAGCATAATAACAAAGACTTGCAGATAAAATTGCTAGGTTACGGCGCATTAGTTGAGCTTGATCTGTTTAGCCAATGATAACGCTCAGCCACAAAAAAAATAGTAAAAGCTTTGACGTTGCGCTTTGGCGTAGCTTCATTCAGCTCTCAGCTCGCAGCATCGGCTGTGCTCTGATTTAAAATAACGCAAGGTTATGCGGAGCGCAAGTTCGTCTGCTTCTTCTTTTGCAAGGGTAGCCGTGACGTCAGGACGCCGAGCACTGGTTGGCTCTGATTGAAAGATAGTGGGTAGACCTCTAAGCAAGCTGCCTTGAGGTCTACCCGCTATCCTTCCAATCAGAGCCAATCAGAGCTCGACGTCCTTATGACGTCACCATAACCCCTGCAAAAGAAGCAGATGAACTTGGGCTCCACATACCTTTTAACTGCGAAACACAGACACCTACACCTTTTTAGCGTTTTTCACTCGGGGGAAAAATGCCGAGTCACTGGGTTGTGGACGCATGCGTGACGTCTGATATTTAGCAGGGCAAACCTACTGCGCATGGTCAGAACGCGATCTTCTGGACAGTGGAGAAATATGGAAGCCTGCAGAAGGTGATTATCGAAAGGGTCTATATGCGCTAAGGCAAATCTACAGACTCTTTCAAGTTGTTCTGGAATTGGACCTATCACAAGAAAAGAAAGTAGGCAGACGAACTGGTTAGGAAATTAAACAATCTAAACCTTGAGACGGAATGAAAAAAACTGACATTATTTCTTCTTGAGTCAGGGTTTAAATTACGATCGCGTGATTTCAGCATGGACATCTGCCTTTTGCGAGCGAAGTATATACTACCCTGGGTAGACAGCAGAAAATTATTTTAGACGGCCTGCGTTTTTCATGGAGTCTCTATTGACAGATTGACGTGCTCACCGTGCAGGCGTCTTTGCCGGGCTCGCCGCCAGCGCAGACAAAACCAGGGTGCAGCTGGTAGTACGGTCCCAGGCGCGTCCTCTTCAGCCTTTCTTCGCAATCGTCGTGTCCCACCACTGGAACGTCCACCTTCTTCAAAATGTTCTGGTACTCGCCTTGATGGCCTGAGAAGAGTAGAATGCATGTTGAAGAGGAACCTGTAATATCTATATCCTCTACGCATTTAATAAATGATTAAATATTGTGAGATTTCTTTACAGGCATTGTTAGCTTATACCCTGTCAGGCGGGCACGTTAAAGGCCTTCAGAACAAATTCATTTTAAGGGTTGGCGAACTAGCGCACGCCGATAAGCGGAAGATCGCAAGCTAATTCGCCGATTATTTAAATGAGTTGAAGGCCTTTAATGCGCCTGTGTGACAGGGGTCTTACTCTCATACTTCTTATATTAGCATTTTGTTAATATCTGTAATAATCTCATTAGTACGCCGCCCCCCCCCCCCCTCTTTCTTTTTTTAAAGAAGCAGAAAAGTCTGCTTTGAGTTCGTCTTTTGGTGGAAATAACTCACTCAACATGCCCTAAGCGCCCTAAAAAATCTAAGACGATAATGCATTCTTTTTTTTTTCTATTTAAAACGCAACCAAACGTTGTTCCACTCGCTCTTTTATTATTATATTTTAGTAGAAATGTGTCGTAATTTTTGGTTGCGTTTTAATATGAAAAAAGTCCTCAGATGATTGTAAATTTGAGGCTTTATTATTCTTAGAGCACGTAGGTTGACGTTGTACCACAAAATAACTTAGTTACCCTTTCAAGGTACACTCACATGTTTCAAAGCAATTGACTGCTTTACGGGGGTTTACTCTGAGACACGGATGCAAGTTACCCCGACAACCAAGCATCACATTTTTTGCTTTCTGCGGTAACTCGCTGTCGTGCATCAAAGTAAGCCCTCGCAACATAGTCAAACGCTAAACGGACCTTGAAGTGCTGGCACTTTAGAACAAACTGGTCATAAAAGAACTCTTAGAGGTTCTTCGGCTTGTCCATATTTCTCACCCTAAAAAGTTATGTTAAGCTCCCCCTAAAAGGGTTCTTCGTGAAAAACCTATAAGGGGTTCTTTAAAGCTTTCTTCTTTTTTACCTATGCGAAAGAGTTTTTCATTTCCCAGTTGCCTTTCTAGTGCGTCAAGGGGCGATAATGCTTGAACCGCAACCGTTTCTCACGAGCTGAAAGAGTTTTCGGGGCGTCAAAGAAACTTTCAAGAACTAATTTTTTTTAGAGTGTGAACTATGGTTCATAAACTCATCGACAATTCACGGTATGCTTGTAAGTCTTCTAGGGAATAAGCAATGGAAGTCGCTATATGTTTTTTTTTCTAGAAAAATGAACACTAGATGTCACACTAAATAAGCCTTTACCACTACTGGTGCGCCTGAATTGTGATTTCTAGTGTCATTGGCCTGCTTGTAATCTTCTAGGGAATAATCAGTAAAAATCACTATCTGTTCTTAAGTCTTCTGGGCAATAAACAATAGAAGCCACCTTTTGCTTTTAAGTCTTCTAGGTAACGAACAATAGAAACCACACTCAATGGGCAACCACTGAGGTGACTGAATTGTAGTTCAGAGTCCTCGGTACGCTGTGGCCTGCTACGAGGTCTTGTAAGGAAGGAACAAGTAACTAACCAAATGTGTCCTTTCCCGATCCCGTAAGCACAGTCAACCGCTAGATGAACCTTTACTAATACTAATGCGTCTGAACTACGGTTTTTATAGTGTCATCGGCACACCATATGCCTGCTTTTAAGTTTTCTAATGAATGAACACTACAAGCCACTAACCGAAAGTTTCCTTGCCCTATCCCGTTAGCCTAGTCCAGGGGTGACCAAGCTGCGGCTTGCGAGCCGCATGTGGCTTCTTCCCATGTTACAGTGCGGCTCGCGGCTCCCTCCTCAACTTCCCCCCCCCCCCCCTCCCCGCCTCCCTGCCGGTCACACGTGCGCGTCCCCAAAAAGAGAAATGGAACGCGTTTTAAATCGAAAGGCAGGTTGCGGTTTGGTAGTCTTGAGCTACTGCTACCTTACGTACAGTTGGACTGCTTTCGACTCGGATAGACTAAAGTAGTTCGAGTTTCGTTTTTTGCTATGTACAAAAATTTGCCCCCCCCCCCCCCCCCCCCGCGGCTCTTGGAAATTTCATGGCCTGTTTGCGGCTCTTAGGCCGGGTCAGTCTGGCCACCCCTGGCCTAGTCAAAACCTCGACGTCCCTTTACGACTAGTAATGCGTCTGAACTGTGGTTCGCAATCTCATCGGCACACGATGTGTCCGCTTTTAAGTCTTCTAGTGAATGAACACTAGAAGCCACTAACCGAAGGTGTCCTTGCCCCATCCGGTGACCCAGCATCGATGTCCGCCGAAGTTCTCCCTGGGTTCGGGCAAGCAGGCAGCGCCAATGTGCGGCAGGTTCAAGTCCACGGGCGAGTCGAGCCGAATCAGGGCCAAGTCGTTGTTCAGGTTTCCCGGGAAGAACTCCGGGTGGATCACGATCTGGGCGGCCAGCTTTTCGACGTGTGCGTAGAACTCGTCGTCGCGGTTCACGTCCCACTCGCCCAACCGGATCTTGATGTCTTGCGGCCGTAACCTGCACGCAAGAACAGATACATAGCTTTGGCTTAGGGTCTTTGATGCTGGCTTCGGGCTTCTATAGATAAATCCTGGATAAAGATGGACCATTCGGTCGTAGTTTGAGACAGAATAAAACGCATTACACAGCATCACACTTTAACGGCCCGCAGAAATCGGTTTCTCAACATGTACTTCTGCAATTTACTACACGAGAGCAAGCAGTTTGTAAAAGTTTACAGTGAAAAAATAAAAAAATTAACTCGTTCAAATGAAGCAAGAGAAAAAGAAAACATGCTCTGAGCAATCTACTCCGCCACTTGCCAGACGATGTGCGCACAAAAAGAAGTGCTGCCGACAGATGGCGTAGGCTGCGTCGAGGGAGTGCCGGCCGATTCGGGTTCTTTTGCGAGATCGTCTGCTATCAACACGAATCGGCCGGCCGATGGATGGATGGTAGATGCTAACGGCCGTACCCTTTATAACGGGCGGTAGCTTGCGTTACCTAGCTTAGAAATTAAGAACCAAAAGTATGATTTCTTTCTTTCGCCAATTTGCTTACACTCTGCACTATCGTGACAATCACCAGGCGGTGTGGTATATCAACAGGATGACCTCCCTCGACGCGCGTCCGCCATCTATCCGCAGCACTTCTCTCCAAGCGTGCATCGTCTGCCAAGTGGCATCTTTTAAACGAGATAAGTTCACTCCTTGATTTGTTGCACTGTAAACGTCCACCACTTGCTTGCACCTCTGTAGTGAATTTCAGCGCGACACGTTGAGAAACCGATTTTTGCAGGCCGTCTAAAGTGCCTTAGAAGCGTTATCTTAAATGACGTAGACACCGACAACTTGAAAAACGAGGGGTGTGGCGAGTTCTCTTCATCTTAATATTGTTCCACAGTCAACCAGGTTGCGTGTCTAGACGATAAGTATGTCGCAGGGTGAATCACAAAACAAAAATAGTGCAAATAATAAACCACGTCCGTGTTCCTTAAGCTGTTTACGGCTACAGAGACCGACGGTGAGACACCTTTGTAAAAGCTCGCGCTCATCGAATTTACTTCAAGAATGAGAAGAGAGACTGGAGGTCGGAGCCTTCGACCTTTCCATTTTAGTTACACCACTTTTTTTTCCCACGTCATCACTCGTTCTCTTCTAAATGTCCCTGACCGTAGGTACCCTCAGTAATAAAAACGAAACATGGAAATGTCCTAGGCACGTGCCAGCTGCTTGAGTTAGCCAGACCTTGAACGTCTACCTCAAAGCGCACACGCTCCAATGGTATACAGCTTCGTTCCCTCGTACTCCCATTAGAAGCCCATTAACCATTTGAAACGCGCGAACGGTAGGAACAGCAAAGGCCATCAGCAACATAGTACCTGTGTGTAAGTGCCTTCTTACTTGTTTTCGTGTTGTTTTCTTTTTTTTTTTTTTTTGTGCCTTACCTTATTATTTTTAATCGTTCACCAACTAGCCCGATCACAAGCTTTTTTTTTTTAAACCTTTGGACGCCGTTCACGTCATTCCTATCAAAGTCACTGAGAGCTTAAAAAACACTGGGCACGGTGAGCCTCAAACATATTATTATCGCCTCTTAACTAATTAGATCGCGGCATTAGTAGTTAAGAAATTCAAAGAACGAATCGCTAAGCAAAAAGCCGGAGCATTGTAGGTTTGGCCATGGTAGGCCACGCCTACTATAACTTTTCTCAAGCTGTCCGTTGTTACAGTCCCGACAAACTATAGACCTTTTCATCCTCTTCCGCATGGGCGCTGCCATATTGGAACCACGTGACGTGGCAGCCATTAGGTTGCTTCAACTTGCTGCTCCGCTTTCCCCTCCAAGCCTTGGCGGATGCGTTGTATTCGTGCTTTTCGTCGCGTTTCACCGCGCTTTCTTGCCTTACTTCGGAAACTGTAGTCCGTTACGTCTACTTGACGACCAAGACATCACGAAGGTTCAAAGGTTTTTATGACAACTGAGGTTTGTTTACTAATAGTGGGGGAACATTCTCAGTAAGAAAGCGCAAGGAGACTATCTGTATTTCCTGGAAGTATCGCTTTTTGTATTCATAATTTATCGAAAACAGCTTCTCTTCATTATGTGAGGAAACTCGCGGAGCAGATAGACAACGAACGTTTAACTTGTATTTTATCTGAGGCTAGGTCAACATCAGGTGATTTGATTGTTCATCATATCACACCTACATATGTATATTTGTTTTTGCGACGTAAACATTCGGTTGGTCGGTGTATTGTATATTGTGCTCGTTCCCATATCGGCAGTCATTTAAGTGATTTATTGATTATATTCAGATAACCAGTCCCATCCACTTAATTTATTTTAACACAAAGGTTTGGACTTCCCATGTAACAAACTGCCACAGACGCTTAACAGTAGCGAGTTTTAGAATAGCGTGCACAAAGAAATAACGTCGGTACTATTTGCAAATCCAAAACGCTGTTTGTGTTCTTTCGACGCTTTTTTTTTTTTTTTTTTTTTTTTGTACGCTGTTTAACTTTTGCCCGTATCTGAAATTCGCAATATTTAATGCCGAAAAAAAATCTGCATAACAATTAGTTGAGTTCAGGATTCTCGATGGCGAATAGAGGTTTACTTTTGGTAGCTGGTGACGCCAAAATTTACAAAGCGAATCTGTTCAAACAAATAAACATTTGTTCACACAGGTCCGTGAAGTGGTGCCTAGCGCTAGCATTCGGCCAAACTTTTCGAGGTGCTTCTCCTCCTGCGCCATTTAATTTTATTTGGTCAATTTTACAGAAGACAACTGCCAGATTTAATTTGACGGGCCTGTCACTTATATCATATCTTGAGTAAGCAAATGTTCATATAACAATAATTTATTTTCTAGAGCCAATATCGCGAGATGCTGCTTATGAGTATTTTAGCAGGGTTGATAATTTAAGGAATTTCCTACTCGGCCGGTCAAAAGCATGCTGGACTACTGAATTAAAAAAAAAAAAAGAGGCCGAGACGATACTACTTGTTTATATCAATTATCTGCGTCATTACACGATACGTTTTTTTTTTCTGCGAAGTTCGCTAATGGTTAGGTGTCCACGAAAACCAAACAGTGAGTAGTAAACTCGCGATTTCATCTGTTCTGGCCGATTCAGCACATTGCTAATGAAGCTGCCAATATGCTTCTTTAATTCACGTGTTAGTCTCTTCATTAGTTTGTTTTTCTGGAAGCTGGTGTCATCGGGTACAGCTGTAGACAATGGTAATCTTTCCTGTACATCAGTCAACCGTCTCGCAACCGACCATAATCAGATACATCGAAGGAGTTGGTCAAAAAAGCCCGCAATTTAGGCTAAAATTCCTCAAAGTAACTCAATACCTCTGTTTCATAGGGTGTGTGCTACAAGAAAAATAATCGTATTACAAAATTAAGCAAAAACAACGTAAAACAGCAATATATAGCCGCGTTCACGTTGAAACCGAAGTTAACCAAATTGAAGCAACCCAATGGCGCCGAGTGTGTCAGCGCCCTCTATCCGCCGGTGAGGCAACTACTAAAATGAAAAGGTCTATAGTCACCGACAACTAGAGAGACTCAAGACTTATTACCTCAACGCTCCTTGTTCCGTGATTCGTTCTTCGACGTTCTTCGCCAAATACTGCAATCTCATTGGCTGCGAAGCGCTGTCGGTGTCTATGTGGAGCGCAAGTCTTGTCTGCTTCTTGCACAGGGGTTGCAATGATGTCAGAATGATGCCGAGCTCTGATTGGCTGATTTAAAAAAAAATAGTGGGTAGACCTCAAGGCATCTAGCATTGAGGCCTACCTACTATCCTTTCAATCAAAGCCAATGAGAGCTCGGCGTCGTCCTGACGTCACCGCAATTCTTGCGCAAGGAGCAGACGACTTGCCCTCCGTATAGGCCTATAATGATTTTGAGGTTCCACTTACGTTTTGAGACAATGGGCGGCCGTGGCGATCCATTGACTAGCAATCAGCGTGCCTCCGCAGACGTAGAGGCTTTCCTGTGGTCCCAACCTCTTCATGATGCCGGCCTGCGAGTTTGGTTATTTCACTTGGTGAGCAGTGGATTAGACGCGGGGACCTCGTCGAACAGGCAATGAGATACATGTAAATTACAAGTGTAAGAAAATGAAAGCCGTTTACAATTCCCTGTAACGCCAATTAGAGCGCAGCTCTTGAGGAGGAGGATGGAAGCGTACTGAGGGATAGGTGACTCCTTGAGGTCACGTGACCTCAAGGGGGTCACGTGGCTTTAGGGGGGTCGCGTGACCTCGCGGTTACGCCGAAGGCGACGCCACTCAAGCCGGAGGCGGGCCCCTATGAGCTGCGCTCTGAAAACAAGTTTCTGGCTTGCTGGGAATGTAACTCAACCATGCTACGCTAAATATCGCAGGGGGTAGACTAGGTTAGGCAAATTATGTTTAATGTGCCTAACAAACCAAAACACTTTAATAATTAGTACGTCAATTAGGAAAGAGCAAGTGATATTTCAATACCGTTATCACTTAATAACTGGACTCTGAGCAAAAACACTAGGTAAACATTCTGCCTTTGTCAGCCTCTCGTGGAATTTTTCAGAAACCAAAATTTAAAAAATAGTTTTTTTTTACGTTTTCTTTTTTTTTTTTTTTCTAACACTGAAGAATGCCTTGAAAGTGATTGTGTTTGGGTGGTTGTGTTCATTTTTTCTTGGCCACTTTGCAATGAGTTTTCGAATAGGGTTTTCGCAGAGCAAATGAACAATTAACTAAAAATGGATGACAGATAGAGTATTCCCAATTAACAAGCTCGAAGTAACGTCAACCTGAGCAGATGCATAATAAATTCGCGTTGTAGCTGGCAGACCTTAAAAATATAAAGTTGAAACACGGGCGCACACAGATGCGCCAACTACCGGCCGAAACGCCACTTGAACAGCGCTTAAAAGTGCTGTGTTTTAAGGTAGAGTACAGTTTTGATTAGGATAACTTGGTGAAGACGAAGGTCTAAAGCTAGATGTAAAATCAGACGCCAAAACGTTACGTCCGAAATAACAATCTACAGTGTGTCACCACCGCAGCAGGGCTTCCGTCTGCATGGCATCTCACTCCCACTGGCTGGCGCCGTAAACAGTCAAGTGATCACATAGAGAACCAATAGCATTCTCGATGGAAGTTGTGGTTTGAGTCTCGGTACATGTACAATTGCCCCTAGAATTACAGACGCTAAAACGCTTTCTCCGTAGGGTGATTTTGTCTGGAAAGTCCAAAGTGCTTCCGCAAATTTTCCTTTTCGTGCGCACCAGTAGCTCCAACTGAACGTGTTTCGAAATGTTACTTTGTAGCTCAACCTAACTGAATGTGATGGAAAATACGCCAAAAAAAACTAGGACAGAGAATAGAGGCACAAAGGACAGGGCGTATTAACAATGAAAAATACGCCCTGCGCTGCCTGCCCCTCGTCTCTGTCCTCGTTTCTTTTTTTTTTTTTTTTTTTGCGTATTTTTTTTATGTATTACAGCCAACTAGCCCATCTCGCAGACCTAACTGAATAATTCACTCTTACTGTGCAACGAATTTAACGTTGAAAGAATTGGCACCTTCTACTTTTGACATTGTTCACCTTGTCACAAATGACAGAAAACACACTTCCTTTCATCGAAGTGTTGCGATTCCACCGCATAATAGCGAGGCAAAAATTAAAATATTCCCCGACCTGCAGCCGCGAGCGGCGGCCATGAGAAACACGCGGCATGACGTTAATGGGGGTCTTGTAGAAAGATAGCAAGTTGCGCGAATACTTGTTCAATAAAAGGAAACTTTTCTATAAATCTTGTCGTTCCAACATGAATATAAGTACGTCAAAAACCTGGTATCATCGACAAAACTTTTATACGGTGTTTTAGTGGCGTCATTTATCCTAGGTCCACAAAACCGTCAGCTCAATCTACTACTGCGAACAGCCCCCAGAAGTCGGAGGGGGAGGGGGACAGGGCCGGACGGGTATGGCCGGACCCGGATGAGACTTTCCTCCTTTCACCATATTGTTTACGCTGCGCCCACCAGCATGTGGTCACGCGGTCGCGAGCGGATAAGTTCTCGCTGCTCACTGATGGCTCTAGAGAGAGAACTTTACCGGAACCCGCGCCTACTCCATCAAAGTCACTGCGCACGTGACCTGGAAGACGATGTACGAGTTGAGAGGTAACAAAAACCTGGATCTTTTTTCATTTTTTTTAATTAAAGCTAGGGTATCCAGGCGAAATCTGTTTTCTCTAGTTCATTTCAAAAGCGTCAGGCTTCAACTTCCACAATTACTTAAGCAAAGCCCTGAATAGAGATTTCTGTTTACGGCGAGATGGCCCATAGACCTCATTTAGAAGGTAGTCCAGGCACATTCCCGATCTGCACATCATTACTTAAACGCGAGCTTAAAATATATATATATCGTCACAATGTTATAAACATCCATTTCTTATAGGTTGTGCGTGACTTTGATTTCGCAAATACTGCAGTGCTTTAATTTAGCTCGGAACCGGAAGCTTGCGAGTGGTATTTGCACACTGGCGCCACCTCGTTTCAACTCCGCCCAATGGGTTGCAGTTGAACGCAAGGAGTGACAAAGCAGTCAATTATACTTAAACGGAAATGTGTAAGCAGGCCTCAACGCAGTTGATCACACTCAGAAGCAAATGTTTGAAGCAGCCTATTAGAAGACATATATCGGCGAGTAGTACATTGTGGCCTTATTGGCCCCATCTCTTACGTGCCACGGGAACTCGGCGAAGTCAGCGCCACTCTCCGGGTAGTGGAGGCTCTTGACCCTCCCGTGGATACCGAACGCGTTGCGAGCGCCGCACGTGGGAAACGAGAGGTCTGGCCGCGGCTGGGGGTACGGCTGGGGCTTGGGGTAGACCGGGCCTAGGACCCCCACCGAGGGGGCAGGGAAGAGGGGTCCCGGTAGCAAGCCCGGCACGGGGGGACCCAGGCGGTGCGGAGGGTGATTCTTCTGCGAAGAACCACAACATATTCAGGACAACGTATAGACCTTTTCTGTGTAATCTCGTCCCCTGCTACCTAATAGGCGTATCCGGTATGGGCGACGAAAAAATAATCCAACGTTTCAACTTGCAAATAGTAAAAAAATAAAGGGGAGGCAAAACGAGAAAATGTGACGGTTACGCTTATATCCTAAATGCCTTCTATTGGCGTGGCAAAGGCAAAACAATGTTTTCGCCCATCCTGGAAGTGACGTCAATTCAAGATGGCGGCGCACTTGCAGAAAAGGTATATATTTTAGAGTTCCGTCACACCATCTCCTTGTTCACGTTGTTGATTTTAAGAGCTCTCCTAAGACGCGGACACGCCGCTAATACATCATACAAAAGAAAGTCTCCAGGCCTGTTTACTCCTTTTATAACGGACAATGTGGAGCGCTAGTTTGTCTGCTTTTTTTGCAGGTGTTGCGCTGACGCCACAGCGCCGAGCACTGAATGGCTCGATTGGAAGAATAGTGGGTAGACCTCAAGGTAGTGAGGTCTGCCCACTATCCTTCCAATCGGAGCCAATCAGAGCTCGGAGTTCTGATGTCACCGCAACCACTGCGCGAAGAGCAGACGAACTTGCGTTCCGCATAACTATCTGCAGAAATGTTCAAAGCATATATATTTATAAAACAAACAAGCTTAGAACATGCTAAAGGCACGTTTGCAAATAGTTATATCACCATGTCTGCAGCAAATACCGTGTCTTTTGTATGATGCATGAGAAGTGTTACTGTGTCTTAAGTTTCACGAGATGAATGCGTGGTTGTTTCATATATGACGTTCCTTTAAGTTTACATGTTAATGCAATGAAGAGACAGATCACGATGTGAACTGCCTCCATATATTTCGCAATTAGTTTGGAATTATTAGTACAAGAAAAGCGAGCTTGAACGACCAAGACAAACGTCGCACTGAGTAATTCCACCGAATTCCTATCATAATGAACCAACTACCGGCAAGTATGTCCTATATGGAACGATAGACTCAAGGAAGACATAATTCAAAAATAATTATGCGTTCGTGTTTAGAATTATGAGCTTCTTAACATCAGAACAGCTATCCCTCTAACTAAAGAACCAGTTCCCATCGCAGTCTTCACTGCATTTTCAGAAACTTTACCCAACTTGCGTTTTGCAGAGATGCAACGTACCAGTCCGACGGGAAAGTTGGGTCCGAACGTGTTGTGCTTGGGAGGAATTCCGAAAGCCGGCTTCTTCGGAAACAACTGGGCCAGAATCTCCGGTGGGATGGGTCCTGGGCCGTCCTGTTGCTGAGGGGCCGGTCCAGGAGGAGCGAGTCCGAAGGACGGAACGGGCGCTCCGTGGGGGATCTTGCAGCACGTGCGCAGGACCCCGCAGTGGGCGAAGTTGACGCCCAGCATCCTCTGCATGATGTCCGTCGCGTAAGCCGGGGGTGCTTCCAGTGCCGACCGTGTCTGAAGGAGGGACGTGGTCGGGGATGAGGACCAGGGACGCGGCCTCGTTCGCCAAGTTCTCAGCAAACCTCGTTTCTGTGGGCCCCGTGCATCGAACCGTCTACAACGTGCGCAGTTCGACAAATTGAACTCTAGAATCAAGAAGGTCCAAGGTCAAGGAGTATTCATGATTGCGATTCAAAGCTGTTCGTGCAGTCTTACCTTGGGTCTATGCTCTGTTGGAGGCTAAGAAAAGCAGGACGGCTCCTTTGCAGTGTTCCCTCTACTAAAGTAGAAAGAGGGGGGGCTTTGCAAGAGTAGCTTGTCCTTCCTTTTTTTAGCCTGCAACAGAGTATAGTGAAGCTACAAGGTGAGCTTGAACCGCCTTGTTTATCGCAACCGAACGCCCGTCTTTTGAAAACCTTAGCTCTGTAGACTTTGTATATGAAATCCTCTACGAAGTTTGCTTTAAACCAGCTTTTACACCAGTTAAAACCATGGAGGACGACTAAGGTCACTGTATTAGTAGTTATGACCTTAAGGATCACTGTACCAGAGGAAGGGTTCATTAAAACCCTTAGACTAAACATCGCTACAGAAAATGAATTTATATTCCACGTTCAGTTCAAGATAGAATGTAATGAGAAAGGTGGACCTTGACAATTTTGAAACAGCAATAGCACGACGCAACTTCACTAAAACCTCTTTTTGAACAACGTTTCTTGAAGTCCAATATCGACTCACCTGATTGGAAGCCTGTCGCTTCATTCTCGACTCCACCTGAGATTCGGTCGAATTCTCCGTCGTCTGCTTTCCGTTGTCCACGTCGACGATCACATCGGAACTCTTGTCATTACTTCTCTCGTCAATAGGAATCAATAAATCACCACCACCTCCTCCGAACGGCGGCTGAGGTCCGAACCCACCCGGCCTCAACGGTGGAGGCCCAACATCAGTTCTGGGACTGGCGACATACCCGTTCTTGCAGAGATAGAACGGGACGCAGACGCACTCTTCCCTCGGCGGTGCAAAGGGTACATCGGCCGGCACATCGTAGCCTTGAGCGTACGTCGCACCGAGTGCATTTCCGAAGTTGAAAGGCCCTCTTCCTTCGTCGATGTTCTTTGCAGGACGGACATCATGTCGACTCGGCGCTGGCTTGAACAAGGACCCCTCGTGCTTGCTCTTTTCGAAGTTTGCAAAGTGAGAGTCCGTCTTTTTGGGCCGATGAAAGTCTGGCCTCACGATGGGCGGCAGTGGCTTGCTTGGTCCTTGTGGTTTCCGTGGAAAATAGGACTGTTCGGGATTCTGTGACTCTTGCCGTTCTGGTGGGAAGTCGGCGGGTCCGTTACGGTTGGGCCCGTTGTAGACTGGGCCGTTCTTACCCGAGTAGAACTCGTTTGGGACGAAGTGATCCGGAGGCGGTTCCTCCTGGTTTTTTTCTGGGACGCCTATGATGGGGATGAAGCCCCTGATCGGAAAGAAGCTGTTCTCTGGTTTGTTCACGATCCTGGACTCTGGCGCTGTGGAGAAACGCGCCTCGTCATTGACGATCTTGGCCTTGCGGAAGCCGCTGTTTCTGGACTCGTAGTTGGTGGTGGTGGGGTCGTTGGCGAAGAGTTTGGCACGCGCCTTAGCGCTACGGCCCACAATAATCACGCTGCCCGAGGTGGTGTTGTAGAGCTCCGTGTCGTTGTGAAGGCTGTCTAGGACTGTCATGCGGTAGGTTATGGTCTCCGGCTTGGCGGTCGTGGTGGAGGTATTGGTGCCGTCGATCTGGGTTGCTTCACCTGCAAGCGTTGTAAAAATTTAGATTACAAAAAAAATCGTCTGCCTAAACTATTTATAATTTACACAAGTCTGAGATAGAAAGAAGTAACATCATAGGTCCTTTGTCACACTCAGCTTAAGTGACATTACTTACACGCGCGCAAGTGTTGATAGCCCTGCTCCCAGTTAACAGACCATGCTCATTATACAAACCTAATGTACCGTACCTAATGTTTCTTTCTTGTGTGTGATGTTTGTGTTATATAGAGGTGGCGGAGAAAAGCCCACCGGAGAAAAGCTCTCCGGATATAATCTCACCGGAGAAAAGCTCACCGCGAAAACGGCACATGCGGAGAAAAGCTCACCGGCCTTTGAGCGGATGCGGAGGAAAGCTCACCGATTTTTTTTAACTTAGCAGATTCTGCGTCAAACGTGGCAATTTAACACCATTCGCATTCGTCACTTCATTAAAAATATGTCCTTTTATATATATATATATATATATATATATATATATATATATATATATATAAATACAATCAGAACATTGTACACCGGTAAAAAAAATTATTGACAACTGACAGTGCGCCGTCGGTACCTCTGTCAAATAAAGAGGTTTGTTCTTTGCGACCTAATATGAATAGCGGTGTGTAAACCGTTTCAGCTCCAAATATTTTGTAGTACCTAATAGATAAAGTAGGTGTTTGTTGATGTAATCAGTGCCGGCTACGCTGTTTTCTTTCTGTTCATTTAGATAACAGCTTCGTCCTGTCGTGTTTGTGGTCTTCACTCCGTCTTCGTCGTTTGGGCCGTTTTCATCATGTATAACGTTTACCAACTCGCCTTATTCGCTACCTTACAGAAGACGACTTCTTATATAGGTCACGAGTAACAACGGTGCCAGTGTGCAGCTCTGAAGGTCATGGGTGGCTCATCGTAGAAGGGCCGTATCACACAAAGGCAACGTGTGGAAACACCAGCACGAACGGCTAGAAAACGTGCATGTCCATGGAAGAAAGAGGCCTCGATATCCTATTGACTGTTTTATCCTGTTTTCAAAAGTTAACAAAAGCCTCAAAAAGAATTTCAGGCACCTTGTTGTTGCGCATGCACTTTCGGATTTACTGCATTTACAGTTTTGATTTTTATGTTTTAGGCACACATCATTAAGTTTTCGAACTTTTTCCTGTTCTTCAAGTTCATAAAGTTTTCAGTTAGGCTTTCGCTGCCTAGAGAGCAAGCGACAAAAAACACTCGCCCGCAATTATTATTTTGGGAGCAATATATCCAATACGCCTCGCAAGTGGGCTCATTTTCGTCTTCTGCGCATAAGAAAGGAAGTAGCGTGACGTCAGAACGCCGAACTCTGATTGGCTGATCGCGACCCCCTATCTCAGCGTCGTCTGCTCCTTTGCAACGTCGTCTGCTCGCAACGTCGTCTGCGTCTGTCTTACCTTTCCTGCGACTTTCGGAGCGAACTCGACCTCGCCTTTAAGAGAGGGCAGACGAAATAACTCGAGCGGTACGTTGTTTTTGTCTAACAACTAGCAGACGCGCATCAAGGAGGAAAGTCAAAGGACTCCCTGGCGAGGTGTCCCGGGGCGCCGAGCTTTTTTTTGCTTAGAACCGAGGCAAGTTCCCTCCCAAATACTTTTTCCCTCCATTCGTGTGCGGCGAGACCCCTCACTCTTTAACGGCGTCGGCAGGTTGGCGCAGTTAACGTCGTCTGCTTTACGTCTGCTAGTCAAAGCGGTCAAAGCGATGGCTGCTTTACCTTTGCTGCGTCTGTCGGAGATTCACCGCTTTTTCATCGGCGAGAGTCACCGTTGCCTCGGCAAACAAGGAGATAACAAGAGAAAGAAATTGACATTTTAATCTAAAACTGTGGTCAGCAATCAAAATATTATACGGGAAGGGTTCACAAGGGTCGCGCGGGCATATTCCACTCAGCACGCCAGCCGGTCGTGGGCGGACGCTCGCCGAGTCGCGGAGAGCCTGCTAGGCCTAACTGCCCAGCTCGTTTGGTCGCGTTCGGTGGGATCGTGGCCGTGGGAGCTTTTCCCGGGTGTTTGTGGATCCAGCGTTTTTGTTCGTCGTGGTCTGTTTCAAGTACTTTTTACTTTTTTCTTGCTGCTTGAAGTCGGGACGCGTCAGAACCGCACGTAAAAAAATAAACGTCCGTGGGTCGTCGCGACCGCGACTCTGTCGGCCATGCTGATGTGATCGTAAGAAGTGCGTAAGACAGCTTCGGAGCTGTCGTAGGATTTTGTCGTAACCTGCGCAAAACTTACGAAAATTTCGTTTAGTGAATACGAATTTGTTCTTAAGTTTTGTCTTACGCACATTTTTGGCGTAAGATCGTTTCGTGAATCTGGCCTCTGCACTTCCGAAAGTCGCAGGAAAGGTAAGACAGACGCAGACGACGTTGCGAGCAGACGACGTTGCAAAGGAGCAGACGACGCCCAGATAGGGGGGCGCGATCAGCCAATCAGGGCTCGGCGTTCTGACGTCACCGCTACCCCCTGCGCGAGAAGCAGACGAACTTGCCCTCCGCATAAGCTTAACAACTAATACAAAAAATGTCAATTCCTTATTTATAAAGTTGACCAATTTTAATGATAATACATTGATATATGTTACGCATGATCTACAGCCTCCATGTAAAAAGAAGAAAAAAATCAATGTCAGGTGAGCTTTTCTCCGCATGCGCCGGTTTTGCGGTGAGCTTTTCTCCGGTGAGCTTTTCTCCGGGATTCTAACATAGGCCTTTGCATCGCTTATCACCCAGGCAAAAAATGCTGAGTCACCGAGCTGTGGACGCACGCGCAGGGTCCGTTATACCGCACAGCGGGGCAACAGCGCATGCTCCGAAAGCATTCCACAGCCCAGCAGACAAAGATGGCAGGGCGCTAAAGGCGATTTCTGCAAAGGCCTATAGTAATTGATGCAGATCAAGCTTATGGCGAGTAGCAACACGCAGGTGCAGTGCGCGACAGTTAGTACAAACAAGCAATCTTCGGTTGTTGTTTTTTATTTGTACTTATTCTGTGAATCCAAAGATTACCATGAAAATTACTCGTCAGCCACCAACAAAAGTAATAAAAATTAAGTGTCGTCTATACCTTGAGTAAAAGGGCCACGCCGTGTTTATTCTAAACGTGTCGAGCAATGTAGATATTGTTGTATTCTTATACAATACTATTTAGGTGCTCGCGTTTAATAAAAAAAGAACTTTACGAGAGTTGTGCTATGTTAATTTGTATACTTTCGGTCGGAGAACCAGTTCATTCCAATGCTCTTTCCTAGACGTGAACCAAAAGAGGGCAGTTAAGGTAATCACCGATTGTTGAAAAAGGTAAGTATAAATATATATATTTTTTAATGTTTTATTCTTATTTATAGAGCCTGCGAACTTGTTTTGCTTTATTCGTAAAACCGTCTAATCTCATATTACAGAGGGTAGCCGGTGGCCGAGTGTGGTAATGCACCACAGCTAGGAGAGCGTGGGACGAAAGCTGGGTATAAAAAATCAAGAAATCCTGGAATCAATCCCCACTCCTGAATGTTTCGATCTGGATGAGCATCGTACAGTCTCCTGCGGTCATGTATCACTACCGCTTTGTGCACGTTAAGACCCTGGATTGGTGGTTCTACCGCACTGGCTAGATTTCCCATCTACAGCCGAGACACCAGAAAGAGGCTGACAATCTTCCGGCTGTCTAAACTTGCACACAACACAATTTAATATTATTATACTGAAAAATGTAAACGAGCCACCTATTACTATAAAGGGTTATCCAGAATAAAATGCTGTTCTTCCATGCCAAGTGGCGTACATTAACCGCAACATTGTAGAGTTCTCCAGGATGTTTCGTTCCATTTATAATTTAGAGACAAAACGCAAATCTCGAAAATGGCCAGCCAACGCATATCAAACACATGCATCTGTCTTTTTATTAATTTTTTTTACGCGTGTGTGTGCATCGTGTTACTTTGAA